GCTACGCGCACTTCGCTCGCGTGCAAGTCACCAAAATATTGTTTGCGACCGAATTCTCGCACTAACGCTAACAACTTTAAGACGGTTTATGGTATGTAATAAATTGCATACATTTATTTAAAAACACGACACACGTCCACTCGCAGCAAAGTTGTCGGAATTAGAGGAATAATTGCTAATAATTGCTAACTAATTGCTTGAACTGTGCGGCTGCCTTTAATTTCAAATGACCTAATTGCCTTTCAAAGTATTTCTGCATGCGTAAACGTACTTCATACACTCCATTTGATAATCATCTAGTCGTTTTGACACAGTAATCTTCAAAATTGCTCTTCTAATGTTAATGAGCGTTCATGCTCCTATATGTCTTCCATATCTCAATAATTGCAAATGTCTTCGATATTATTGATAGTAAAACAGCCGTTGAATGTTTTCGTCGTAGAATCAGATAATATCTAATTATATTTGCTGTGCTATTGGTTAGCATGGCGATTATTTTAACAACTCATCCATGATGATTTCAGCACAAACTTTTGCGTCTAAAAGTATGTCATTAGGTTTCGATATGTTGTACTCAGAATCCATTAATTACAAGTGTTGTTATGTGTGGCCCATTTTTATTCTTGAATGACATCACAGGTAGGCAGTTAATAACTTTAGACATTATTAAAGCTTCTGTAGGGAGTGCATAATCGGTTGATATTTATTTACAGTGCATTAATAATACTTTTCCTCAACTTTCGTTTGGCGATGTACCGGCACCGGAGACGGAATGGAAGTTTTAGCGTTTTAGCCTTTGCGCTGCATTTTCGGATATGAGGGACGTTTGTGATCCCTGGTTCAGAATTTCGTACAGTCTGATGTAAGAACCATCTGCTGCCCGTACTTGCATCTTAATTGTGGCAAGTAATATTTCGTCATCATTTATACCCACGTGGTTCGATTTTAAATGTAGTTTCGAGCCCTGCGACATCGAGACCGTAGTCGTCATGTTCGCCGAACTTGCATTTTTAGCCGCCTTCGTAATATAAACGTCGTAAAATAAGGTGATATATTTCACACACACATGTTAACACTCCTTGCAGAGTTTTTTCTGAATTACATTCATATTTATGCACGTATAAACAGTTTTCACAAATAACACGTATAAAAATTTCAAATGGTATGTAATTTAATTTCAGGTGTCCTGACTTTTCACATTTTTTCTACTGAAATAATGTGTAATTTTTTTGCATAAAGGGCTAGTAGGTATACACTTGGAGTTAACATAAAACGATCTCTTGAACGATGTATCCCTATTCTCATAAATTGCAGATTTTGGTAATAACGTTCTTCAAATTTCGATACATGGTTATTTTTATCAAAATTCGAAGTTTCGACTCTCCGTTCTTTCTTATTTATTGGCTCTGAGGCTGTAGATTTGGCTTTCAACAACGCCCTAAACTCTTCTAAATCAAGTAGTTCCCGTGGGACTTTTCTTAACTCTTTAAAATCACAATATGTTGTTGTATCTACATTCCTCCCTATAAGGTGTACCAGAATCATATTCCAAGAGCTACATAATATCAATTCATGCATGCATGAATGCATTCCATTGATACATCGTGAAGTCGTTTGAGTTCCGTTGATGGTTGTTTTTAATATTAAGTTTAATTATTTTTTATATTAAGTTTCAATGTGCTTTGTAAAGAGGACTTGCTGATTATCATAGTATTAATATTTTACACGCGGAATCATAGTTTTCTGAAGTATACAAATGTTGTATTAGGCGCTTGGCTTCACCTCTGACCTTCCCCTCTAAGTACTGCATCTTTCGTGCCTTAGTCATATAAGGATTGTTATGAACGGCTTCTTTAAACAGGTCAGAAAATGTACGCCATTGGATATAATTTCCAGAAAGCGTAGTTATTTCTATTTTTCGTGTTTTCAAGTTTATTCAGTTTTAAAGTGTTAAGTTTTTGTTGAAAAATCTATTAATAATCTTAAACGTGGCCTCCATTTCCTCATATTCCTTGTCGTACTTCAAATCGGAACCTTTAAGTATATTGTCAATCTTCAAGTGTGTTTCTTCGATGTTGCTCCTCTTGATTTTAAATATTTCTCAACTCATACTCTAACTCCCATTTGTCGTCCATGTTTTCATGTCTATTTTCTCAGTTATTCTCGAAAATGCTTGAAAATTAGTTTGCTGCAAGCTTAATAATTCTTTGGAATTCTCAAGGTCAATCTGAGTGATATTATCCTTCTTCGATTCATCTTTTGATACATACTCGTATGCAGCCATCATTTCCCGCGTTTTGCTATACTTGCGTCCCTTATAAAATATTCATGAGTCTTGTCTTCTAATGTCAATAATTGTTCGTTGTTGCTTTTGAATTCGAACCAACGTTCATCCAAATCTTTAATTTTTTTCTATGTATTCCTTTGTTTTTCTTAACTTCGGATCCATTTTGAAATTGGTATTAAGCTTTCTGATCTCGTTTATGATTTAAAACTATCTCTACAGTAAGGCTTGCTAAGATGATAAGTTTTTGATTAAATATTAAGCTGCAAGTAACATTAATGGACCTATAACTTCAAATTGTTGGGTCTACTAAGTACGTTCGTATCCTTAGAACAGTATATATGCACCTTTTCAATTCGGCCAGTGAGACCCGCTTGTAGGGAAGCCAGACGAACTGATTCGCTACTGTATCATAACACTAAAGACTATAGTAGTAGTCGAAGGATCACAAATGTATGCATAACTATGCAAGTATGTAATTCAGTGCAATGTAAGATTAAATGCTGTTGACAAGTACCACTCAAATACTGATATTGTAGGATGCGAAGTAAAACACTGTTTATCGCAACGCCTTGCTAATGGTAATAAATTTTTGAGGAAAACAAAGTGTGTATAATGCATTAAAATGAAGTCAAACACAAGCGCGCGTCCAATTACGCTAACCTATTAAATGTACGGGGCTACTCGTACAAATATCACTCGATAACTACGCAATTAATCATTATTAATAAGATAGCATACTTCACTACACATTAAGTACAGAGAAAATATAGTTCAACCAATTGTAATACGTCACCGCCCTTATCACACACTGATGTAACGTGTAGGACATAATTACACGATAACACCAAAGTATGCAAAACAATAGCAACACTATCCACATAATTCAGAGCAGATTCTCACTGACACAATCTTCCTTGCCAACACTAGTAGAAAACTTCAACGGACATAGTAACGACACTGCGACTCGTAGAATTACCGACTGATCCTTCTTAGTCACTTGCGCAATACTTTATACTGCTAAAGTGAGTGGGCTACTATAGCTCTACCTTCATTTGTTCGTATTTTATTTAATTTTTTTACTCTCATTCCTAATACGGCTTTTCCTGACCGCGAGCCTCGGCCTTCCTTTAGCTTTGAATATCCGTCTTCTCAATAGCGTGGGGCAAGCACACGCCTCGTGTGGAGGCTACAGTAACGTTACTGACTTAATGTAACTTTCACATCTCGACTCTTTCTGACCATGAAACGATAAATCATTGTTTTCAAATTTTACCAATTTTTATTCAACACCACGCTATGAGTGAGCTCTTAAATACATTTTATATGGACTTAGATCAGATTTTAGTATACAACGCTTCCTACTGGAGTGTAACGCACGCACAGATAACACAATCTTCTTTGAGGAATACTCCGTATACGGCACAGATCGTATTATAAACTGAAGACATAGGCCATCCACTGCGTTCCCACAGTTCTACTGTATTCCCGCTAGCGAGTTGCCTCGCTATATTGCTAGTGAGCTGCCGCGCTACAGTCGTGCTAGCAAGCCGTTTCAGCGCACCCGCGTCAAAGCTCATAAGTCACTTTCTTACCGAGAGCTTCCAACACAGTTAAGGCTTGGTCGCGCAGGCCTAAGGTGAGTGCAGTCGTGGCCTGACTTCTATTCAAGCCGTTCGTCTCCATGACAGCCTAGAACTGGATTTTGTAGGCTGACCAAGAAGAAGCCCCGTCGAACGGTGGCACTTTGAATCCACGTAGCGAAGGTGTTGTAGCTAAAACGGGAGCTGTAATTCCATCCCCAAGTTTGAGGTCGTCCAGCGTTTTCTTCGCGCCAGCCATCACGTTGTCAACCCGATTGTTTACCATAATAAAAACTTAATTTCAGTATTAGAACGATTAAGAAAAGTGAATTTAAAATTAAACCCATTAAAGTGTGAGTTTTTACGTACCGAAATCTTTACTTAGGTCGTAAGGTAACTAGTAAAGGCATATTTCCTGATCCAAGTAAAATAATAACAATGCAAAGTTATCCATCACCATCACCATCATTACAGCCCTTCACAAGTCCACTGCTGAACATAGGCCTCCCCCAAGTAATGCCACGAAGCACGGTCCTAAACCACCCTCATCCATCGACTTCCTGCATGCCTTACCAGTCCGTCACTCCATCTAGTGGGGGGTCGCCCTACACTACGCCTACCGGTACGAGGCTGCCACTCAAGAACCTTTCTTCCTCATCGGTTATCGGTTCTTCGAGCTATATGGCCGGCCCATTGCCACTTCAGCTTACTAATCCGTTGAGCTATGTCGGTCACTCTGGTTTTACTGCGGATATCCTCATTTCTGAGTCTATCACGCAGAGAAACGATCATAGCCCTCTCCATAGCTCGCTGAGCGACCTTGAGCGTCATCATACGGCCAGGAGTGAAGGACCACGTCTCAGATTCGTAAGTCGTCACTGGTAACACGCACTGGTTGTACACTTTAGTTTTCAGAGATTGAGGTATACCTGACGAGAAGATGTGTCGTAATTTCCCGTTGCGTTTGAGAATATCCACTACCCCATATCTTCCCGTGGGTGTCGTAAGAGGCGATAAAGGGACACAGAAAGGAGATGGGCAGCAGCATCTTCCTAATAACAATAATAACATAATGAAAAACTGCGGTTGCAAACCCGCTCGCCAAGCGTGGCAACTATGGCAAATATCCCCCCATGAGCAACGATGCAAATAAATGGCCCCCAGTCCCCGGCGGCCCCGCTATTCCTGGCTACGGTGGCAACCATGGTAACGGCGGGGCAGGGGGTGCTAAGAATCTCCAATGGAGGTTCAGTTGCCACCTACGACGACTCGACCTGGCAACGTATAACGCACGCACCTTGAGGACTGACGAGAAGATACTGGAGCTGAAAGAAGAGGTAGACAAGTTGCGCTGGGATATTATTGGATTATCTGAGGTCCGAAGAGAGGGGAAGGACACGGTAATCCTAGAATCCGGCAATTTGTTCTATCATTTGGACCATCTGTCCCAAGGAGGTGTTGGATTTATCGTCCACAAGTCTCTCGTCAACAACGTTGTAAAGTTTGGGAGTGTGTCGACGAGGGTCGCGTACCTGATACTCAGAATCACCAAACGGTATTCGCTGAAGGTCATACAGGTCTACGCACCAACCTTGGCACATCCGGATGAGGAGGTGGAGGAAATGTATGAGGATATTTCTAGAGCCATGCATTCCTCCAAAACCCACTACACGGTGTCGATGGGAGACTTCAACGCAAAACTAGGCACAAGAGAAGGAGGTGAGCTGAAGTTAGGGAAATTTGGAGTGGGGCAACGGAACCGTAGGGGCCTGCAGCTGGCTGACTTTATGGAGAAAGAGGGACTCTTTATGATGAACTCTTTCTTCCAGAAGCGGCCCCACAGAAAGTGGACCTGGTCGAGCCCCGACAGATCTACAAAAAATGAGATTGACTTCATTATGACGACCAGAAGCCAACTGTTCAGTAATGTCTCAGTGACCGCAAGGGTGAAAACCGGCAGCGATCACCGAATGGTTTGAGGCACACTGAACCTAAACGTTAAGTTGGAGAGGTTTCGTCTAATGAAGTCAACGCTTCGTCCCCCTCGTGCTCTAATCCAGAATACCGAGACTTTTTAGCTCAAGTTACGTAACCGTTTTCAGTGCCTAGAAGATTGCAATGTAGTGGACGATATGAATGACAAGCTCGTGGAAACTGTCCATGCGGTCGGAGCTAAGTTCTGCAAGACCCAGAAGAACACAAAAATCCCTCCGATCACACTCTTAATCTCATGGCTATTAGACGGGAGATGAGGCTGCAATCGTCAACAGATTTGACAGCGTACAGACAACTGAACAGACAGATCTCCAAATGCATGCGGCGAGACTTACGCAACTTTAACACTGCTCATATTAAAGAAGCGATCAGGGCTCCAAAGTCTTTTCCAGAGATCTCTCTGCCAGAAAGAGCCAACAGTCAAAGGTGAAGACTGAGTGTGGAGGCATCGTTTCCGGAACACCTGAGATTTTGAGTGAGATTGAGAGGTTCTATGGGCAGCTGTACACATCATCGTTGGAGCCACACGCAAGTGTGAGTAACGATACAAGAGTAAGTCTTACCCGACACTATTCCGATGATATCCCGGACCTCAGTCTGAGCGAGATTAGAATGGCTCTTCAGCACCTTAAAAACGGCAGGGCCCCAGGCGAGGATGGAATTACAGCGGAGCTTCTGAAATCGGGTGGAACACCGGTACTTGAAGTCCTTCAGAAGCTCTTCAATTTCGTCCTCCATGGATGCACTACTCCGGAGGCGTGGAGTAGAAGTGCGGTGGTCTTGTTCTTTAAGAAAGGCGACAACGCTCTCTTGAAGAACTACAGACCGATTTCCCTTCTGAGCCGCGTCTACGTGCTGTTTTCGAGAGTTATTACGAATCGGCTTGCACGCAGACTCGACGACTTCCAGCCTCCCGAACAAGCCAGTTTCCGAAAAGGCTTCAGTACCACATACATACCCTGCGGCAGATTGTACAGAAGACCGAAGAGTACTATCTGCTACTTTGCCTGGCGTATGTTGACTATGAGAGAGCCTTTGATTCCGTCGAAATTTGGGCGGTGCTACAGTCTCTTCAGCGATGCCAAGTTGACTGTCGGTATATCGAAGTGCTCAATTGTTTGTACAGTAGGGCTACGATGGCCATCCGAGTACAGAACCAGGGTTCGAAACCTATCCAACTGCAGAGAGGTATAAGACAGGGTGATGTTACATCCCCGAAACTCTTCACCGCTTTGTTGGAAGACGTTTTCAAGCTACTGGACTGGAAAAGATACGGTATTAACATCAATGGCGAGTACATAACTTACCTTCGATTTGCCGACGGTATAATCCTTATGGCAGAATCGCTGGAGCACCTAAGCACAATACTCAATGACCTCAATGGTGTCTCTCAACGGATAGGTCTTAAGATGAACATGGACAAAACAAAGATCATGTTTAATGTCCATGTCACACCTATGCCGGCTGTTGTTGGGAGCACTATGCTCGAATTTGTTGACGAGTAACTTTATCTGGGACAAATAGTCCGACTAGGTAAGTCCAACTTCGACCGAGAGGTCAATCGACGGATTCAACTCGGCTGGGCAGCGTTCGGGAAATTACGACACATCTTTTCGTCAGGTATACCTCAAAGTTATCCGACACTGACTAATGTCGATGTGGTAAGAAGGTTCGTTGCCTTCGCGTACTACTACTGTCGAATCATCAGTAATAAAATGCAAGTTTCGATGAAATTGCACATCCATTGAATAGAATATGTAAAAAGAATGTAGCATTTAAATGGACAAATGATTGTAATGAAGCGTTAATTAAATTAAAATAGGCATTGATGAAGCCTCCTCTTTTGAATTATTCCATTTTTTAGAAAACATAATTTTTAATATGCAGATAAATGCGTCAAGGTTAGAGTTAGGTGCAATATTATCTAACGGGAATGATAAAGTTATCGCTCATGCAAGTAGAAGTCTAAAACCCGCCAAAACTCGGTACCCGGTTATAGACATTTCTAATGTTACGAGTAGCAATCGTATGAGCAGTTAGGCATTTTCGGAAAATAGAAGAAAATTCCAAATTTAACAGATCATAAATCTATAATAAATCTAAATTGTCTATGACAGATTCATCCAGTAGACAGACTAAATTTCGCTTGTATTTGGAGGAATATGATTTTAAAATAAGTTACGTCCCAGGTCGACACAATGCTGCTGCAGACGCATTGAGTTGCATTCCAAGATTTAAAAACCGAGCCCAGAGAAAACGATTAACTGATGAAAATAGCACTTGCTTAGACCAACTTTCTGAGCCCGAGAATTTGCAAAGTTGCGGGACTGATCACCTCGTTGCTATGGAAGTACTTAAGCTATCACAAAACATAATCGAATTGTGTTTTATTAATTTTCCAAGATATGATAAAATTGGACACGATGAAATAATAACGTCCTCAGGTGGAAATAGTATTTATGTGCCGAAGCAATAATTTTTTTTAAAATTCTCGATTGTTATCAGCTGTCGAAGCGTTAGTGAGAGATTTAGAGATATTTTCTCAAAGAGTTACTGAATGGGAAGGAGCTGACTCCTGAAATACAGGAAATCCTAGTTTGGGAGTCAGGGCTCCGTGATGTTGTATGAAATTATAAGTGTGAAATAAAGAAATTATTATTATTATGGGGGGTATCTATATAGTTTTCTCATCTGGTTGGGTTCTATAAATATATAAAAATATAAATGGAAATGAAAAGATAATAATAAATATCAATAAAATAAACTAAACTAATATAAAAATACATAAATAAATAAAAGCCCAACCAGATTAAGGCCCTCGGCAGGGGAGACCAAACGGTCGAGGGTTAGGGGGAAAGGAAAAGAAACCGGCTGACGATGCGGGTGGTATCAATGAGCACCGCCTTCTGCATTTGAGCCTGGAGCGGTCCGCCACGTAGTCTCAGCCGCCTCAGATGACCCGAGAGGCTGACTGGGATTAGCCCGTTTGCAGAGACGACTACAGGAATAATTTAGGTCGGCAGACCACCCTACATGTAGGTCACCTCGTGAGCCAGGTCCAGATATTTTGTTTGCTTATCTGTTTCGGCTTTCACGAGGTTCTCGTCATACGGAATGGTAATGTCGACCAAAAATATCCTTGACTGTACCCGGTCCATCAGCACAATATCAGGCTTATTCGCAAGAATAGTCCTATCTGTGATGATGGCCCGGTCCCAATAGAGCCTGGTGCGATCATTTTCGAGCACGGCTTCCGGCAAGTACTTGTAATACGGCAATTTCCGATCCAAGAGACCGTATTTCAGAGCTGGCTACTGGTGAAGAATTCTGGCTACTAGGTTGTGCCTGTGCAAGTACTCAGAGTTGAACAACCGGAGATGACATGCCTTAGTGACTCACCGGGATGGCGACGAGCTCGACAGAGGTCGACGGTGACATCCTTTAGGATGTATCGCCGATAGTTCTTGGTCTTATAGTTCATAAAAGATAGCTTGATCTCTGCGACAGCTGTCAGTAAAATCACGCCTATGAAGTCCTGAATTTCTTAGTAGTACAGACAGTTCCTGTCAATGTCATACTTTATGAGCATGCCGACCTAATTAGTGCATGCCCACAAAATATGACATTGCAGGTACTGTCTGTACTACTAATAAATTCAGGACTTCATAGGCGTGATTTTTATTGACAGCTGTCGCAGAGATCAAGCTATCTTTTATGAACCATAATAACCTGATCCTGTATTGCACAGACAAAACCCTCGATTTCCCCAAAGAGGTCACCGAAACGGAGCCAGTGGAGGGAGGCGACTGAATCTACGAAGGGCTTATGTAGAGCCTTGTTGTACCTTCGATGGAGCTCCTTCTCCTTCCATACAGTCTCCCGGTTGGAAATGCTCTGTACTGCCGGGTCCTGTCGTTGCTCATTGGCTAGGGATAGAGGGGTAAGTTCTTTATCACAAGAAATGACGTCCTTGTAGAGTGGATCATCCGATCTCGCCAGGAAGTAATTACGGAGGCTGAAAACTTCGCGATTATGCATGGTGAGCGCGCTCAAAATGCCACGCCCACCATGCTTTCGCAGCAAGTACAGCCTCATTACCGACGATCTCGGATGATGCATCTTATGGGACGTCATGGTAATGCAGACTTTTCTATCCAGGGCGTTAAGTTCAGTCTGAGTCCACCTGAGCATGCCAAAGGTATACATGAGGACAGGCATGACCTAACCGTTATATGCGTTTGTCTTATTCGTACCGGATAAAAGGCTGTTAAGCACTTTGGTCAAGCGTGCATAAAATTATTATAAGAAAGTTTTTGTAACCAACTAAATAATTTATAACTTCTAATAATTAAAAATAAATTTAATGAAGATCATGTAAAGTTACTTGCAAGTACCACTAAAAGATCAAAGCTAAGTATATTTTATTATAGGATAGGGTGACAAACGGAGCACAAACACAACACAGTTCACCTGATGGTAAGTGGTTGCTGTGGCCCAGAGACATCTACATCTATTCTCAATTACGAATCAAAATGCAGATGGGTTACTACCCGTGAGGACAAAGATGGAATGCCTCATTTCCAGTAAAAAAGATCTCCGATTCTATACACTTACCATACGAAACACAGCAGCATAAAAGTTCTATTTAACGCTGGTATTCTGTGAGAGAGCGGTGCTTCCCCGGTCGAGCTGACCCATTGGTGCTACAACTATACTACCAATATAACTGCAGCATAAACCACAACCACGTATAAAAAGTAAGAAGTAGTAAGTAGACCGCAATTATTAATGACGCAAGATGTGAAGCGCATAACAAGTAATGATGTAAAGAAAGTCATTTAAAATGACTTCCGCTTGTTACCTTCCAGTGGACATAGTGGACAATAGATAGAATGCAAAGAAAAAACATAAAAAATATTATTTTTGGCAATGAATTTTTGCAAATGACAAGTGATGTTACTGATTACATAAAAAATTTAAATTG